ATGGCTTGTTAATTTTGCGTTTATAAAGCCAGGGGACACAAGACACATTTCAGGCAAGTTTCTTTGCCACTTTGTAATAACGATAGCCTTTACTATAGTTTCCAGTGATGTGTTCCTTATTTCCGTCTAAGACCTCATCAGAATGGCCTTTCAGTTTTCTGATCACTGTCATATTGCAGGTAATCTCTAAGAAGTTCAAGACTTTCCCTACAGCTCTTCTCTGAGCCCTCACCACTGTCTCTTTAACACTCCATTCACAGAAGTCTAGGCTTTTTCCAGCCTCTACTCGTTACCTAGTTCCAAAGCTTTTTCCACATTTTCAGGTATTTGTATAAGCAGCAACCCATTTCTCTGGTCCCCTTTTTCTGTTCTCGTCCTTTTTGTGCTGCTGTGACAGAGTATCTAAGACTGGGTAATTTATAATAAATTTATTGGCTCATGTTTCTGGAGGCTGGGGAGTCGAAGATCAAGTGGTTGTGGTCTGGTGAGGGTCTTTTTCCTATGTCTATGTCACATAGTAGCTGGGTAAAGAGAGGGCCAGAGAGAGACCAAAGGGACTGAACTCATGCTTCTATGTGGAACCTACTCCCACAGTAGCAAACTCACTCCTCTGATAATGGCATTAATCCATTTACTTCACCTCATGACCTAATCACCCCTTTTAACACTGTTGCATTGGGGGTTAAGTTACCAAAACATGCTTTTGGTAGACACATTAAAAGCATAGCAGCACTGATCCATGAATGCTGCAAAATCTTGCCATGATTTTTATTATGTGCACATGGAATGATCTTCCTGTCAGTGCTGAGGATTATAGAATTTATTTTGCTTTACACATCACCACAGCAAACAGACTCAGTTTTTCCCCCCTCATCTGTCATCTCATAGGTTAAACATTTCAAAGGCATTTGGCATGTGAAGTCTGACATGTTGTTGCTATAACTTAAAGCCTTTTCAGTAATTGGTAAGCCTTAGGACAGCTTCAACAGAAAGAGGAGGCTTGCTTTGAAATACATCATTTTTTGCTAATTTGCCAAGCATCATGAGTTTGAATGCTGACCTTGAACTAGACCACTTCAGCTGCCTATTGGTACCCACAAGAGTGAGCAAGAAAGCACCCTGAGATAAACCCCTACTCTGGAAAGGCATGAAAAGCTGTGTAAGTTCTAATCCATCTCAGTGTAAGAGGTCTTACTTTTTTTCTCCTACTCTCTTTTGAATATTATCTCTTTGTTATTCAAAGAGTATCCTTGGGTTTGGTGATTAATGTTCCTGATGAAGCTTTGTAAGTGCTAAGCTTTCACCAAATTTGTTTCTACTTGAAACACTTGCCTTATGGGCTAACATTAATTAGGATAAAAAAATTGTGTAACCATCCAGCTATGTTATATAAATCTTAAGTATTTTAGGTAGAGAGAAATTACTACAGAAAAGCAATTCCAATGCATTCTAGTCAAGCCAAGGTGCTTCTAACAATTTTACATTAGTACTAAGTCTCGTGAGATGTTGGAGGTGATTGTGTATAATTTAATATGCTGCACCTCTGTTATCTCAGAACTGTCTGCCAGGTATTTTGAGCACAGAGATTATGTTAGAATGCCACTGAACAGTTTGTTTTCAGAAATGTTTGTACATAGTTACATTAAAAGGGGTTAATTCCGCGCCCCCTTCCCCCACCCAAGACGGAGTCTCACTCTGTTGCCAGGCTGGAGTGCAGTGGCATGATCTCAGCTCACTGCAACCTCTGCCTCCCGGGTTCAAGCGATTCTCCTGCCTCAGCCTCCTGAGTAGCTGGGACTACCAGCGTGTGCCACCATGCCCAGCTGATTTTTACATTTTTAGTAGAGACAGGGTTTAACCATGTTGGACAGGATAGTCTCAATCTCTTGACCTCGTGATTCACCAGCCTCGGCTTCCCAAAGTGCTGGGATTACAGGTGTGAGCTACTGTGCCGAGTCCGAAGGGGCTAAATTTCTTTTAAAAAGTTGCAGTTTTTTTTAAAATGCAAAAATCATGGAAAACTTGGGAAAATGCAATAACATGAAGAGAAAATGAAATCTCATCCTGTGAGTTAAGCTCTAGTGGTGAGTCAACTTTGAATTTCAATTATTTTTCTGGAAATACCTTTTTCATAGTCATTTTTCAGGTATAGTGGTAGAATGTGGGAGCCCTTAAGACGAAACACCAACTAGACAACTTGACAAGCGGTAGAGAATGTATAATTAGAAAGACTGTAGCTTTAGTCTATCCCAGCTAGTGATCTCTGAGGATTTTAGTCAAAGACAGAACTTCTTTGGGTGTTGTTTCTTATCTCTAAGGCAAAGGGGATTTGGAACATGGTGCTGTTGGTAACGCTAAATGAAAGCTATCAAGCATGAGGATGCCTGCTCTCACCCATCCTGTCCTAACTATTTTATTTGCATTTCCTCAGAGCATATGTTCATATTTAGGTGGTGGTTGAGGGATGGTTATTCTTGAGGCTGGCTTTGTTAACCGAAAAACAAAACCCTAAAATATTTTAGAGGTTTATCATGAGCCAGTATGACTGCGGCCCTGGGAAACACAAAACCAAGAAGCTTTGAGTGAGTGTGCCTGAAGCAGTCGGATGACAGTTTAGTTTTATACATTTTAGGGAGGCAGAAGTTACAAGGAGGCATTAAGCAATACATGGGGCTTTCACCTTGGTTTGGCCCAAGAAGGCTGTTTTGAAGTGGGGCTGACAGGTATAGGTAGGTTCAGAGATTATTTGTTTATTTTATTTTATATTTTATTTATTTTGAGACAAATTCTTTCTCTGTCACCCAGGCATAATGGCACAATTGTGGCTCACTGCAGCCTCGACTTCCCTGGGTCAGAGATTTTTTTTTACTTTGTAATTGGTTAAAGGAGTTAATCTTTGCCTAAAACTTTGGAGTCAGCAGAAAGAAATGTTTAAGTTATGACGAGGAAGTCGGTTCACCAGTACAGTGGGTCAGAGCAACCCAGAGGGATGTGACTTTGCTCCCGTCTGACACAACCCTAAGTCTTGCTTATGTTCTCTGTTGTAGCATTAACATTGGTCAGTTTTGTCTGAACTCCAGAAGAGAAAGTATAGTGAGGTGTGTCCAATCTCCCTTCCCATCATGGCTGGGAACTGAACTTTCAGGTTTCTCTGGGGTCTTATTTGGCCAAGAGGGGGTCTACTCAGTTAGGGGCACTTAAGCTGTTTATATATTTATGATACAGTCTCATTCTGTGGCCCAGACTGGAGTGCAGTGGTGCTATCTCAACTCACTATAACCTCCACATCCTGGGTTCAAGTGATTCTTGGGCTTTAGCCACCCTGGTAGCTATGATTACAGGCGTGTGCCACCATACTTGGCTAATTTTTGTAATTTTAGTAGAGACGGAGTTTCACCATGTCACCTAGGCTAATCTCGAATGCCTGGCCTCAAATGACCCACCCACCTTGGCTTCCCAAAGTGCTAGGATTATAGGCATAAGCCATTGCACCCAGCCCAGATTTCATTTTTAGTTATAGCCTCCCCTTACTTCTCCTCTGCTATCCCTGATCTTTTTCATCCAGGTGGCTTCTTTTTTTTTTTTTTTTTTTGAGATGGAGCCTTACTCTGTCAACCAGGCTGTAGTACAGTGGTGTGATCTTAGCTCACTGCAACCTCCACCTCCTGGGTTCAAGTGACTCTCCTGCCTCAGCCTCCCAAGTAGTGGGGATTACAGGAGTTTACCATCATGCTCAGCTAATTTTTGGTATTTTTAGTAGAGACAGGATTTCACCATGTCAGCCAGACTTGTCTTGAACTCCTGATCTCGAACTCCTGATATCAAGTGATCCACCTGTCTTGGACCCCCGCCGCAAAGTGCTGGGATTACAGGTGTGAGCTACCATTCTGGCTAAATCCAGGTGGCTTTACTCTCACCCGTGATGAATAGTTCATCATGTGTGAGATTTTATTTATTTTAAATAGAAGTTTCATGGAGAATTACATATTTTAAAACCATAGACCCGGGAGTTCATGTACTTTTTATTTTAGGTAGAAAGGATTGCTGTTTTCCCATTAATTCAGTTTGAAACAGAAGGGCGAAATGAACAAGAGAATTCTGGTGAAGAGAAGGCAGAGTAGAGAGCAGGCTAGAGAATTGAGTTGCACATGGCCAGTCTGTTTTCTGAGCCTATTCTTTTCACTCCCACTGCCCATAACCTTCCCCCAGATGAAATTCCCTTTTATCCTCTAGTTACACCATTTCTTTTGAATAAAATACTTGTGTTCAACTTAAAAGTATTTTTCAAGCGCAGTTGAATTTTCACCTTCACAGTGATCTAGGTTTTGTTATTACTGAGTTCCTGTCAAGACCCCTCACGGCTGCCTCCCCACACTCTGTGGGTGGGAGTGGACACCACGCAGTGTTCACATCACCACTCATAAATTAACCACACGATGGACTTATGCATTTAGGGCTTTGGTCTACAAACAGCATGTATTGCTTGTTAATTCCTTCTTGTAAACAATTTAAAAGATACTCATTTTTCATGAGGATTTTGAATCTAACTTAAATATTAATTTTTTTTTGGTAGTTCACTAAATCTCTGTATTTTGCTAATCGTTTTTTCTATAAAGTAATTTTTAAAGTTCTCAGCAGTAATATTGAAGCCATGGAAGCTATGTCCAGCATCCCATTTGTTATAAAACAAGAACCTTTGACTAATGGGAAATTTTCTGTCAGCGAAGACATTTTGAAGTTTGTAACTGCAATTTTTCTGTTTCTTCCCAGAGTGATAGTTTGAAATGTAAGGCTGCTTAGGAATTTACAGATAGTGTGGCCTCTTTGATCTGCAGTAAGAGTCAAGATGCTACTTTAAAACCTTTGCTGTCTTCCTTCCCCACCTTGCTCCTGAGTTGTAAGTGGTGGCTGCACCAAAGATGTCTCTCCATGGAGCTGGTCCTCACTGTGTTCTCATGTGCTTTTTCTGGGAATGTTCTGCACATGCTGTCCGGACGCAGATAACCGGAGGTGCAGGGTTCGTGGGCTCCCATCTAACTGACAAACTCATGATGGATGGCCATGAGGTGACGGTGGTGGACAATTTCTTCACGGGCAGGAAGAGAAATGTGGAGCACTGGATTGGACATGAGAACTTCGAGCTGATTAACCATGACGTGGTGGAGCCCCTCTACATCGAGGGTGAGTGAAAACTGCACCTTTTTATCACTCAGAGCTCTGCAGGTGGCCTCTCCAGAGCTGTGGGATCCCCAAGGGTAAGCTGTCTGACTCAGCACATTGAATGCTATGTTGGGTTTTATTTTTGAAATGTCTCACAGTGTATGAGGTGCTCTCCTAGCCTCTGTGATAAAGAGTGGTTATAACAGTGTGAATAGTGTCTTGTCCCTTACATGGCACCCTTGGTACTGAGCCTCGTGGATGTATTGAAGTAGCCTACCCGTAGTACGCATCTGCTATGGTCTGTCTATTGGTGTTCCCGCAAATTTCATATGTTGGCATCCCAAACACCATGGTGATGGTGTTAGGAGGTGGAGGCCTTTGGAGGTGATTAGCTCATGGAGACAGAGCCCTCACAAATGGGAGTAGCGTTTTGATAAAAGGTCTCAGAGAGCCCACTTGCCCTTTCCACTGTGTGAGGACATGGCGAGAAGATTCATACATGAACCAGGAAGCAGATTCTCAATAGCATCCAGTCTGCCAACACTTTGATCTTTCTCATTTGTTATAGAAAACCAGTGGTTCAATGTACATTTCTTTGGTTACTACATATGGTTAGACATTAACATGTTAATTCATCAGAGAAATACAAATGGTTTGTTAATCTATTTTGAAAATATTCTTTTAGTATGAGTTCTTTGTAATAGGAATGTTAACTATTGGGCTTGTATTTAGCATTTTTCTCACAATCTAGTTTTTACCTTTTTGTTTGATTGAAATTGTATAACATAGTGTCATCTGTTTATATCCCTTTTGCTATTTCTTCTGTTCTCTTTATTCTCTAACCATTCCAAGATTAGATAAATACTTAATTTAATATTTAGAAAACAGCCATGGTGTTCTTTTGTTGGTTGGTTTTTTGCCTCGTTTTTAAACATTCAATTATGTAATATATTTGGGATTCATTTTGGGATGAAGCTGTAGCTTTTGTACAGTGATTTTATAAAGTGTAACAAGCTATGTGGATTATAGATCGGTGGGCTCACTCTCCTCTTGGACTTTCTCCTTGGATCTCTGTGGGGTTAACTGAAGTCCTGCATGTGACAGGGCCTGGCAGGTAGGATTCTCACAGTGCCCTGCCAAGGTGCCTCTTCCCAATGTTCAACCAAAGATGCTAAGTGCTGCTGTGACAGGAGTTTGCTGATGGAATCATGGTTATGAACCAGCTGGCTTTAAAATGCGGATGATCCTGGATTATCTGGGTTGGCCCCCACATAGTCACTTGAGCTGTCAAAGGCAGCAACAGAGAATGAAAGAGTCAGGTAGAGAGACTGGATAGAAGAGATATCATGGGAAGACCAGGCAGAAGGGAAGCTGGAGAATGTGCGACCTACCTGACCTACCCTGGCTGGCTTTGAAGGAGCCATGAGCCCGAGAGTGTTGGCAGCCTCTGGAAGCTAAGAACGGCTCCCTGCTGAGAGCCTATAAGGCGACCTCAGTCCTGCAGCCTCAGGGAACTGAATTTTGCCATCATCCTGAATTATCCTCTGAAGACAGGAACACAGCCCTGCTGGCACCTTCATTTCTCCTTGGGGGCAGGCAGAGCTGAGAACCAGCTGAAACCAGCTGAGCCACACTGTGCCTGGTCCTGTAGACCTGTCAGATTGCAAATGGTTATTTTTTGAGCCTCTAAATTTGATTGGCAGCAATAGAAAACTACTACGTGGGCTTAACACAGTACTGGGCCCTCATTTCACTAAGTGCTCTCCAAATGCTACCTATTAATATTATTACTCTCTTCTCTTTTTTTGTACATGGCAAGAAACATTTATATTATGCAATTTCAGTGCTACTGAGAAGCCAGAACTTAGTAAAAATGGTGTTTTAATAAGTAAATTATCTTCTTTAACTGCGAGGTTTGATACCAAAGCTGCTCTAGGCCATTTCCGCCAATTCTGTTACTGTGTGTAGAACGTACACACTCACATACAAGTAACATGCACACCCACACACATGCCCACACACACTGAATGAAGTCATACAATAAATGACTGATGCTTGATCTTTTGCTTGGAGTATTGCGTTCCCTCGGTTGACATTTATGTTGGGAGAGCATGACATACTTCTCTGCCTCCATAGTTTGAAGCCTGATTTTTACTTTCTCCTTCAGTGAGTCCTCAACCTTAGCCTCAGGTCTTCTGTGTGCTTGATATTTTCCCCCTTGCTCTCCACCAACTCTTCACTCTTTCTGCCCCCACAATGCCCACTTCATCCAACAATGCCAGAAGGTACCTTGTTTTTAAGCTCATATGGAATATTCTCCAAGATTGATCACATTCTGAGCTACAAAAGACACCTCAACCAACTTGAAAGAATACAATCCTATAAAGTGTCCTCTCAGACCAGAGTGGACTTACACTAGAAATTAGTAACAGAAAGATATCTGGAAAATTACAAAAATATTTAATGAGAAAGCAACAAACTTCTGTGTACCATATGGGACAAAGGAGAACTCTCAAGAGAGATTAAAAATACTTTGAACCAAATGAAAGAATTAGGTTTCTTGTTTATATATTAGATAAAGAATGAGATGGAAGAGAACCCAAAATATTTTTCTCTTTTCAAAACAAGCTTTTTTCCTGATGAAGAAAATAATACATACATGTTAAAGAAAATGTAGAAAACTATTTTGCAAAGCAAATAGAAAGTTATTTTTAATTTTTCTATAAACTGTTGAGGAAGTTGGGTGGGCACAGTTGCTCACACCTATAGTCTCAGCCCTTTGGGAGGCTGAGGCGGGCGGATCAGTTGATCTTAGGAGTTTGAGTCCAGGCTGGGCAACACGGTGAAATCTGGTCTCTGCCAAAACTCCAAAACGTTAGCTGGGTGTGGTTGTGCACACCTGTGGTCCCAGCTATTCAGGAGGCTGAGGCATGAAAATCACTTGAACCCTGGAAGCAGACGTTGCAGTGAGCCAAGATAGTGCCATTGTACTCCAGCCTGGGTGACAGAATAAGACCTCATCTCAAAAAAGAAAAACAAAAAACTGTTGAAGCTAACATCCAGTTGTTTTCCTAAATGTGATTTATTTTTTCAAATTAAAAACATCCTTACTAGGCAATATGGTTATGTGGTTCCATTATTTTAAAAATAAATAAGAGATGGCCAGGCGTGGTGGCTCATGTCTGTAATCCCAGTACCTTAGGAGGCTGAGACAGGCAGATTGCTTGAGCCCAGGAGTTCCAGACCAGCCTGGCAACATGGCAAAACTGTGTCTCTACAAAAATTCGCCATGCATGGTGGTGTGCACCTGTAGTCTCAGCTACCCCGGGGGCTGAGGTGGGAAGATCACTTGAGCCCAGTGAGTTGTGACTGCACTGAGCCATGACTACACTGCACTCCAGCCTGGGCAACAGTAAGACCTTGTCTCAAAAATAAATAGATAAATAATAAACATAAAAATGGAAAAGGTAAAACTATAAAGTCTCCCATTTGCCAGTTCTCAGGTCTCCTCAGGAAACAGCTGTTGATCCTTTATTTGTATTTATCTGCAGTGTCTGTATGTGACCCAGCTAATACAAGTAGGTATTTATAGTTCTCCCTTCTTATATAATTTATTATATATTGTCCTTCATCTTATTTTCTCTTACTTACTGTGTGCTGGTGATCTTTCTGTGTCTTACAGAGACCTTTTTTGGCAGCTTACTGTTCTGTTTTGTCACTATACTAACTAGACCTCTTTGCAAAGATACGGATTTTTTCCCCCTCAGCATTACTTGTCAGCAAGTTGCCTTCTTATGAATATACTGCCATTTCCTTAGTCCAGTGTTGTTGGATCTCTAGGTTGATTGCAGTTTGGAGTCATCGTAAACCATGCTTCAGAAAGCCACACATCTGTGTCTCTGTCATCATTTTCATAGGACACTGGCTTTCCCAGGGTCCTGCTACAGAGCACCTGCGTTTCCCTGAAATGCTGTCCCAATTTACTTTTCTGTCATCTGTGTAAACAGGGATCTTGAGACCAGCATTTCCATGGGGAACAGGAAAAGGCAGAAATGTGCATTGTGTCATGGGAAGACCGGTACTGGGAACTCGTGGTATCTCTGTTGAAGAGGTCCAGGAAAATAAAAGAAAGTGACCATAGCTAACAGTGCTATTCTAATCCCTGTTTATGGTTCGCAAGTTTAATTATGTCAATACTGGTGCAAGATAGGCAGCTATTTTCCTCATTTTAGAGGTGAGGGAACTGATGCAATGAACCCTTTCCATTACCTGCCTTTTACCTGGATGCTCAGTTCCTATGGAGGGTCAGGGGGCACCAGGAGAGGGAAGACAGGAGAGCCGAGCCGTCAACCCTGGGCACCCACCCTAGAGAGGTGGGGTGGAAACAGTGTTTGCCAAGGATATTGAGTCAGTGTTGATATAGACATTTAAAGCATGCAGCTCTGATTAGAATATTTTTGTTGAAGTATCATTTAGAATTTTTTTTTCTCAACTTTCAGTTTATATTGCAAAGGTAAATAAAATGGCAGTGGCATCTTTTAGAGATTGCCCTCTGTTTAATTTAGAGCTGTGGGGGTTGCCTGTGGAGCAGCCCAGGATGCTGGAAATGCTTTCCTCTGTGGTGGCTTCACAGGGAAGGTGAGCCCCTCTGTCAGAAGCCAGCAGCACTGGCAGGCAACCCCAGCTCCCAGGGGCTGAGCCAGTCTCCAGCCTGTGCCGCCTTTGTCCTAAGTAAATACATTTGACATGAACTCAAGGCAAAACCTTGCTCTTTTGCTTCTTTGTGCTGAGAGAAATTTGGTCTTTATGCATTGAGAAGTTCTTTATCTTCTTCATTCCTGTTTTCCATCCTAAATACTGTTGCCATGCTGTGGGACTTCACATTGCAGAGGGGGACATCTTGTTGGGGAGAATTTCTGCAAGGCCTCTGACTCAGAGTAGCAAAAGAGAATTCTACTGCAAGTGTCTTTTATGATGGGAATTTAGTATATGCTCAGTAATCAAGTGAGTTCACAGAAAGAACTAACTCATTGTTTTGCATTTTAGTGTTTCCATAGTCTTCAGTTTCACACTGTAAATCCTTAACTGGCCCTTGGCAGTTCCTTAGAGCGTGGGGGCGGTACAGAAGGAGGCTTGACACAGACTATGTCACAAACTTAAGACAAAATTAAAAAAGAAAATCAACAAAGGAGTGGAAGCTGCAGTCAGTTTTTATGTGGATTTCTCCTTTGTCCTTTTTGGTAGAAGAAAATGCTTGATTTCTCTGATGCATTCTGAACAGTGGTTTCGGGTTATCCTGAATTGCTCTCGTCCTACGGTGATATTTTTTCTTCCCTATTTATGTGTCATTTATGTGGGTTTCAAGCACAGTGAAATTCAACCTAAGACCCTATAAGGGAGTTCATTTGTGGTTTGACTGGTTGAGTTTCTCTAGTCAGAATTCACAGAAGGGCCAATTAAGTCGCAGCTGTCCCCTTACCCAGCCTCTTCCCAGCATAGAATTCTGGTAGGAATGCTTATCATCATTAATTGGAGCTCTTTTAGCCTCATTTCTTGAGACTTCTATTTTTCTAGCTGAGCTCCCGGCACATGATGTTGTAAATGTGAAGGGTCGTGGCAGGGTCTCTTAGAGGTCAGCATGGAGTGGCTGTGTGGGCACCCATTAATGGGCTGCCTTTCTGTCCCGCTTTGACTTCCTCTCCCCACCTCAGCTTGGATTTTGGAACGTCAAGCTCATTCTTGGTGTACACTGAACTGCACAGTTGACATGTTCTGAGGGCCTTTGTCCTGGGCTGTGAGGGTTAACTTTGCTGCTTTATTTACATTCCAAAGCGGGTTGTTACTAATGTTACTTAGTGTTTACCTAGCACCTCTCATTGCAGTTATTTCTCCCTGCTCTGAATTTCCCCTTTTCTCTGCCTTTCAGAATTTCTCGCCAGATTATTTAACCAGAAGACTCTCATGCAGTGCCCTTTTTTAGGATGGGAACTGGAGTTATTGTTAACGTTATAGGAAGAACACATTCTCAGAGGAGAGGGTGGTGGTGGTGGGAAACTGGTTTTCATAGGGTTTTCAGGTTCCTCTCAAATAGGAGAATGCAGCAGTGCCGCTACTTAACTGAGCATCTTGACAGTTTAATGGGGTAGCCCTCGGCCTTCCGGAGCAGCAGCGGGGCTGACCTGTCCATGGAGGATGGAAAAACCCCAGTTTACTCTTCTCTCAGCTAACTTTAGTGGAGCCCTGTTCCCAAATTGGCCTGGGCCAGAGCACCATGGAGGGATATTTGTTGTAAATGGAAGGGTTCCAGGCCCTCCTGGAAATCCTGAAGTGTGAGACCTGCAGTGGGCTCAGGAGTCTTTATTTGTGGGTGCCCGAGGTGACCAAGGGGGCCTCCCCTCCCTACAGAGTCACACTCTGTGGGGAGTTTAAGGAAGGGAAAGGCCTGTGTCTTGTCCTCAGCCAGCTCATCGTCTAGTGAGAAAGGCATGTATGAATCTCTGGACAGGGCAGTGCTGAGCTGTGGTGGACTAGCAGTGCAGACAAGGGGTTATTTCTGACCAGGGACAGGGAGAAGTTTCCCACAGACAGCCTTCCGCTCTCCTCTGGATTGAGCTTCGAAGAAGAAAGCCAGGACTGGAGCAAGTGAGGAGGATAGAATAGTGCCGGGTTAATGGTAGTGGCTGTCTGTTTGATGTCAGGGAGGTATCCTGTACTCTCAAGGCACACTTTTTCCCTCCTAGCCTTTAATGCAGTTTCCTGTCTTTCCCTGCATCCCTTGTCACCTCAAGAGGAAAAACAGTGATGAATAATTTGATTTGTAAGATCAGAACCCATACAGAGTTGTTTACACTCCCTCTCAGGAACATAGGGTGACCCCGTCTGTGTAAGCAGAAATACCTGTGAGTGTGAGTCAGGTGACAGCAGGCTCCAGGTCTAGCACACCTGAGTGGGCTCTGTGGTGTCATACTCAATTCCGAAGGTCTGGCCAGGCTCATTTGTTTTGTTTTTTTTTTTTTTTTGTTTGAGATGGAGTTTCACTCTCGTTGCTCAGGCTGCCCTGCAATGGTGCAGTCTTGACTCACTGCAAACTCTACCTCCCGGGTTCAAGTGGTTCTCCTTGCTCAGCCTCCCAAGTAGCTGGAATTATAGGCAACTGCCACCACGCCCAGCTATTTTTTTAATATTTTTAGTAGACACGGGGTTTCGCCATGTTGGCCAGGCTGGTTTCAAACTCCTAACCTCAAGTGATCCACCTGCCTAAGCCTCCCAAAGTGCTATGATTACAGGCATGACCCACCGCACCTGGCCCTCATTTGGTTTTGAATTTGGCATGGTCCTGCTCCAGAATGACGGTGGGTGTGAGGAGGCAGCACAGTGCCTGTTTCTGGGGTTAATGGTCTGCGTTCCTGGAAGCAGGTGTTCAGGAACTGACCCAGTCTATGCTGGTCCTAGCTGGACGATAAAAAAGATAGCTTGGCCTTAGAATTGTGGAATTTTGTGAGAACTGATATTTAAAAGTATCATGTTGAATTACAGTTTGTGTAGTAGAATGTTAGTTTGTCTTTTATTTTTAGCTGTTTATCAGCTCAGAATAACTTGTGGGGGTGAGAACAGCAGTCACAGGATTTCCTTTTACTTGGACAGATTTCTTTGGTGAACTTGAATCTTGACAGACCATCAATAATTTTAAAGATTTTGTGTTTTCTTAGTTCTCTTTACAAAAAGATTCTTCTTTCCATACGCATTGGTTCTATTTTTAAATTAACTCATTAGCTTTCAGACTTGGCTTTTAAATGTTAAAATATATATATGTATTTTATATATACATGAAGGTTCAGTGTCTCCCAGCCTGCCTCAGGGTATTGGAGACCCAGGCATTGCCTCACTGGGTGACTAGTGCAAAGTCAGGATTGATTGAGAACCGCCAGACTGAACTGCTGTGGCTCAAGGGCTTGATCTTCAGCTCTTCCATTCCCAGGACTGCGAAAGGGAGGACAGCAGCGGTCCGATGGTCAGGAGGAGCCCGGAAGGCCTGGCAGAGGGGCCCCTGCAGGTCTTCTTACACATCCATGTGCAAGGGAGGACTCATTTTGACAGCAGAGCTTCCAGATCCCTGTTCCTTACTCTCCTGTGGATGGTGGGTCTGTTTCCTCACCTGTGGCTAGAGTAGAATGGCGTGATGTGGACTTCGTCTGGAAGGATGGCATTCCTTCTGTGTATTGGTCTGTTGCTGCCATTCCACAATGAGAGGTTAGTCCCTGAGGACTTCTGTGCTGTGTGCAGGTGTTAACCTGACCTGGATCAGTGCTGGAGGGCTGTGGATAGTGACGTCAAAGTGAATGCTTGTGCAGAAGGGGCTAGGGCTTGTGTGGAATCTGAATTGCTTTGCCATTCATGACTTTAAAAACCTCCTTCCCTACCTCCCCATTCATTGCAGGGTCTGTTTTTTTTATATACAGCATGCATAAAAACAAAAGGAAAGGCTACTTTCTTCGATAGTTTTGTGTCTTTGCTTTCAAGTCATATTTGCCTCACAGACTAAAAAAAAAAAAAAAAAAAAAATTCATGTTTAATTTTGTGTCTGAAAAAATCATCTTCCTGCTGATTTGAATTCTTTGTCTGGGACAAATATTTCAGAAAACAATCAACTCAGTAATTGAATTGACTCTGATTACCTGAGAACAGACTCAAATGACTGACCCAGCACATGTTTTTGTTTCCATATAATTAGACTATTTTTGTTTAATATGTTTCTAATTACAAATGTAAATTAGTTTATATAAAGAATAAGATAACTTGATTTCAGTGAAAGATATACTAATAACTTTATTATACAGCATAATTCCTAGGAGGTCAGTATTTTTTTTAGCACTTTTTTCTTTTAAGTAATAGGCTTCTGTTTTGTCTCCTTTAGTTGACCAGATATACCATCTGGCGTCTCCAGCTTCCCCTCCAAACTACATGTATAATCCTATCAAGACATTGAAGACGAATACGATTGGGACATTAAACATGTTGGGTAAGTTGTCATTTTCTTGTTTTTTGGCTCTTGGAGATATTTTAGATGATTGCAAGCATAGGCCATTGAATGTTCTACTAGAGTTTGATCTGGATCTTGCCCCCCTCCCTTATCGCCCTGCCTGTGGTATTGGCAGTTTTGCAGTGTTATTTCAGTGTGACTTTATTTGTCAGCAGAATATGCCATAAAGGAGATGGTCTAACTTTCATGCATTGTAGTAATCAGGCTGTGGCACCCTGGTGTAGATCCCCTGGGAGTGACCACAGGCTCTTCATGTGACCGACCACCCAGCCTTCCCCACTCCTCACCTCTGAAACCAGTTGGCGAATGCTGAGGATAAGTGGCATGCCTCATGCTGGAAAGAGGCACTGGTGGCTCTGATCCCGAGGTTGGGTTGGCATGACATTACACACAGCGGTGATGCACTAGCGCTCCTTGAAGAAATGGGTGGAGATGTCTGTATGGGGTGTTATCAAGACTGAGTACCTGCCCTAGATTGGACCTCAGGTTTCGCATTCATGAAAGATAGAAGAGAGCATTGTTAAGGGTGGCCATATGTGTATATTCACAAATGACATGCCTTAGATTTATAGCTGTGGGTAATATGCACATATTACTGTTTAAAATTAGAGGCATGCTTAAATTTGGCACAGTTTATAAAAAAAAACTAGGGGTTCTGATGATTTGCAAAGTGGAAGAAAGGAACCACTTTTTAAAATGGCAAGTAAATGATGGATTTAAGTATAGGAACATTTAGTACAGGTTCTACAAATAGACTTGGGAAAGACAGCACTAAAGTTTAATTTGAACAAAGCATGGAGTCAAGGGAGTGAAAGGACAGCCAGAGATTGGTTTATCTCTTAGGCTAAGTATTTTAGGGTGTTGTACTAGTCAAGGTTCTGCAGAAGAACAGAACCAATGGGATGTGTAGAGATTTAAAGAGATTTGTTACAAGGGATTGGCTCACATGAAGATGGAGGTCGAGAAGTCCCACTGTCTTCTTTCTGCAAGCTGGAGACCCTGGAAAGCTGGGGGTGTAGTTCAAAAGCCTGAGAAGTGGAGAGCCAAGGGCAGAAGGTCGATATTCTACATAAGTTGTTGGCCTTCCTCCATCTTTGTGTTCTAGTCAAGCCTCTAAGGGACTGGATGATGCACCCACATTCTGGAGGGCTATCTGTTCTTCACAGTCTACAGATTCAAATGCTCATCTCTTCCAGAAACATCCTCACAGATACCCCCCAGACCTAATGTTCAGCCAGCTATCTGGGCATCCCATGGCCTCAGCTGACACACAAAATGAACCATCACAAGGGTTACAAGAATGTTTGGAGTTAAGATGATTCATTCTTCCAATCTGGAAAGAGCTTTATCTTTTTTGTTACTGTCCCCTGATCTGGTCACTAAACAGAACAGGGTGCTGCTGCTTCTGCTTAGAAGTGTGCTTTGTGCCTTCTTCTTGCCATCACAAGTGCCCACCCTTCCCTACACTCTCTCTGCCCTGCCCCCCTCCATCATACCAAAACTAGACCATAGAAGAAAATCCCATCATGCACTTGGTGTTTAAAGAGATTCCATTTATTCTTCTGATTTAAGGGATGCAGTCACTGTGCCCGTGGGTCTTCTCCCTGTGGGTCAGATTCAGATGGGGTTATACTCAGGCTCTTCTGCACTCGGCACCCCGTGGAGACAGGGGCTGCTGAATGGGCACAAGCATCAATGATACCTAGTAGGAAAGGCTTCCAAAGAGAGGCTTCAGCAAAATGCTATTAAAGGCAAATGTGACTCGAGCTAGGGCTTGAACTATAACTGAGATTGAATGTGGAGGTCTCACAGGAATGGTAGGGTCTTCCAGGAATGATGTTGACAAAAGGTGAAGAGAGACCATTGGTAGGCTGGAAAGAAATTTAAATGGGACTTTGTATTTGGAACTGAGATGAGCTGTCATTAACCATCTTGTGATGCCATGAACTTTGCCTGGCTTCATTTTTTCTCTGTGTAACTTGCCCACCTCGCAGACCCTGTGTTAGACTTCTTCCTCTGATGAAAGCTTTTCCTAACACCCAGATACTACAGCAGCAGGATAGCTTCCTTGGCTTCACTCCCTGACAGTTGCCTCCGTGGATCCTTCCTAAATCATTCTATGAAAATGACACAGAAATAGTCCTGGTTTCAAAATCCTTAAACTCAGTTGTTTTTGAAGTACAATACATTGCATTTGTGATGTGTGTATTTGACCAAAGTTCAGAGAAGACAACCAGGAAGACCTCAGGTAGAGGAATATAAAATGTACAGTTACTCTGGAAAACAGTTTGACACTTTCTTTAAAAAACTATGCACTGACCTTTTCAAGATGGCGCAGTAAGAACAACTCGGGATTGCAGCTCTCAGCTAATGCTCAGAGGGTGAGTCAAAGTCGCATTTCCAGACGGATCTTTGTTGCCCACAGAACGGGGAAAGTCCCAGGTGTAGGAAAGACATGGGACACAAGTGCAGCTGGTTCAGCTGTTGCGGCTGCTTAGGCCGGCGCTGCAGCGCAGGCACTCCCCAAAAATTCGCACAAAACACACGGTCCCGGGTGCCCCTCTAAACCGGCAGTCTGAGATTTGGGAGGGCAGATTAGCATATCCATCTGATTAAATGCGACTTGGACAGTGAGCCAAACCAGGAGATTCCTGGGAAGTGGCGTTTGAGCCAGCGCAGTGGCTAGCTGCACGGGAAATCACACAGATCCCGGTGCTATAACAGCAGGCGACCGAAACACCTGGGAGAGCGTTTTCCATTCAACTTAAAAAAAAAAAAGAAAAGAAGAAGAAAGAAAGGCGCTCTGAGGCAGGGAGCCAGGCAGGCAGGCTCGGCGGGTTTCACCCCCACAGGGACAAACAAAAGGGCAACTTGAAATGCTCCGGGTGGAGATTTTCACTGCTAGGACAGCTGAACCCAGGATGGTGCAGCTCGGTGGGGGAGGGGCGTTCGCCATTACTGAGGATATCTGCCCCTACGGAAGTACACTCCCATTGCTGACGCAGCCTGCCGTTGCCGAGGCAACACGCCATAACCGAGAGACTTCGCTGCAGGGCGGAGCTGGTGGCAGCAGGGTGGAGCCTGCAGCAGAGCCCGCGGCTGCAGGGCAGAGCCCGCACCAACAGGGCCCACACCACATCAGCAGGGCGGAGCCTCGGCAGGCAACTAGTGACTAGACTTCCTCCTAGCTGCGCAGGATAGTGCCACAGACATTCATAAAGAAAGCTCCAATCCCACCGAGACAGAGCATCTGAGGAAAAAAGGGGTTCTAAGAGTTGTGCTGCAGCAGAATTAAACGCACCTGCCTAACAGCCCTGAATGAACAATGGAGCTAACAGCTCAGCACTTGAGCTCCTATAAAGTACAGACTGTCTCCTCAAGCAGCTCCCTGACCCCTGTATATCCAGAGTCACCTCAAAAAGGACTGATCAGACTGACATTAGGCGGGCACCATTCTGGGACAAAGATAGCAGAAGAAACTGGTAGCATCACTCACCGTTCTGCAGCTGCTACAGGTGTACCCCAGACAAGCAGGGCCTGGAGTGGACCTCAGCAGTCATACAGCAGAGGGGCTAGACTGGTAGAAGGAAAACCAAGTAACAGAAAGACCTCATCATCAACAATCTGGGCATCCACTCAGAGACCCAATCGAAAAGTCAGCAACTACTCAGGCGACAGGTGGATAAATCGACAAAGATGGGAAGAAACCAGTGCAAAAAGGAGGAAAACACCCGAAACCAGAATGCCTCACCTCCTACAAAGGACCAAAACTCCTCATTAGCAAGGGAACAAAGCTGGATGGAGAATGACTGTGATGAAATGACGGAATTAGACTTCAGAAGGTGGCTAATGAGAAACTTCTGTGAGCTAAAAGAGCATGTTCTAAGTCAATGCAAAGAAACTAAGAACCTTGAAAAAAGATTTTAAAAAAGATTCGAGGAAATGATAACAAGAATGGATAACTTAGAGAGGAATATGAATGAATTGAAGGAGCTGAAAAACACAATACAAGAACTTCATGAAGCATGCACAAGTTTCAACAGACGAATTGACCAAGCAGAAGAAAGAATATCAGAAGTCGAAGATCAACTCAATGAAATAAAACGAGAAACCAAGATTAGAGAAAACCAAGATTAGAGAAAAAAGCCCAAAAAGGAATGAACAAAGTCTCCAAGAAATGTGGGACTATGTGAAGAGACCTGACGGTTTGATAGGTGTACCAGAATGTGACGAAGAGAATGAATCCAACCTGGAAAATACTCTTCAGGACATCATCCAGGAAAATTTCCCCCGCCTAGCAAGGCAGGCCAACTCTCAAATTCAGGAAATACAGGGAACACCACGAAGATATTCTGCAAGAAGAGCAACCCCAAGGCACATAATTGCCAGATTCAACAAAGTTGAAATAAAGGAGAAAATACTAAGGGCAGCCAGAGAAAAAGGTCGGGTCACCCACAAAGGGAAGCCCATCAGACTCACAGCAGATCTCTCGGCAAAAACTCGACAAGCCAGTATAGTGTGGGGGCCAATATTCAACATCCTTAAAGAAAAGAACTTTCAACCAAGAATTTCATATCCAGCCAAACTGAGCTTCGTAAGTGAAGGAAAAATAAAATCCTTTGTGAACAAGCAAGTACTCAGAGATTTTGTCACCACCAGGCCTGCTTTACAAGAGCTCCTAAAAGAGGCACTACACATAGAAAGGAACAACCAGTACCAGCCATTCCAAAATCACACTAAATGATAAAGAGCATCAACATAATGAAGAATCTACATCAACTAACGGGCAAAACAGCCAGCTAGCATCAAAATGGCAGTATCAAATTCACACATAATATTAACCCTAAATATAAGTGGACTAAATGCACCAATCAAAAGACACAGACTGGCAAACTGGATAAAAAAGCAAAATCCATCACTGTGCTGTATCCAGAAAACCCATCTCACATGCAAGGATACACAAAGGCTCAAAATAAAGG